TGGCTCTCATATTAAAGAATAGCAAAATTTCTAGAGTTACATCTGTTTTATACATAGCATTACAGCTGAAACAACATACGATATTCAAAATTGTTATATTAAAAGAGGAAAAGGACATCTTTGACTTTGATCTTTCATATGCCTTAGGACAGTTTGGACATCAGTCCTAAATACATAGTATCTTTAGCCATGCTGCTCCTGAATAAATAATTTGTAAGAGAGGCTAATAAATACAGCTGGGAAGCTCCTCATTTTTACTCTGTGCTGTCTGAAACCAACACAAAAAAAGAAACAAAAGAAAGGAGAGACAGGGAGATAAATGCCACAACTTGGATTACATCTCTTAACTACCCACAAAATTTTGTGTTGGAGTAGTTCTGTGAACACGCCGAGACATTCCTGGGGTGATTTGTCAGGAGATGAAACCTCCTACTGCCCAAGTGCTTTAGCAGTACAGTTTTCCAGGACATTCTCACACGCAGTGAGGATGACCATGTTCTGAGGAGCATTTCCACACACAGCCTCACAAATCCCCTTTTCTATCTGACAAGAGTATGAAGGACACCTTATCCTTGCTCATTGCCCTTCCTCGCATACAGCATGCGGTCACAAAGGCAGAACAAGCAACCCTCACATTTATTATTATGGGATTACTATGCCAAGCCCATCTGGTCCACAGCACGGAGGCCACTGTCTGAGGTTAATCCAACCCTGAGAGGAAGCTATGGAGAGGGGCAGATGCCAAACCACCATTTTGAAAAGGCCACTTGCAAGTCCACATCCACACTGTCCAACTTGGGCACCTGCTGACTGCAGATTAGCACTAGGTGAGATTACAGAATTGACGGATGCCTACAGCCAGTGAAGGATGGTGACCCCAGGAGGAGGTATCTCCTCTCAGGTAGGAGATGTTTCAGCAAGTCCTCAGGCAGAACGCCAAGTAGTCTGTAGGCAGCTCTAACATCTGGCAAAGATTTGTGATTCACATCCTCACTGGAAGGAGGAGGGAGCAGAAGCCCAGGCATCCTGAGGTTTTCTTCAGGGAGGACTGTGAAACATCAGCTTCATCCACGTAACTAGAGGACCCCCAGACGTGCTACCAGTCCAGTAGGGATGACCAACAGCCACAATTCAGTAAGGATCTGATATTCAAAATTGTCTTTTTGACAATGCTGTGGTGCAGAAAATATTACACACTGTTCTTTTCTCACAGGTAGAAAGATTTTGGGATGTCTTTTCAACCACTAATTGTGAGTCACTTCAGAAACAGATTTTTCTAGGGCTACCTGAGATGGGACTGCCAGGAAGGCTGCTGGAGTCCATCTTCTCACCATTTCCTCTTTCTACTCCGATAGCTGCTTCCACACAAAATTCATCTCTAGGTGTGTTCTCAACAGATTTGCTTTAATAGTCTTTTTTGTTTCAGTGAATGTAGCATCACCCTTTTCAGACAAAGTAAATGAACAGGCCCCCCACCCCCAAACACCCCCAAAGTGTTCCCATTGTAACAGGAACACAGAAGCAGCTTCCCTCTCAGGCTCATTTCATTCTTTCATTCCCTATTCTGCATGGGCAGGTTACTAAGGACCAATTATGAGTCACTTACCTGGACTCCAGATGACAGCCACAGTGAAACACTCTGGATTTATCCTGGGCAGCAACAGGTCCATCAATGCCTGAGTGATCATGACCACTTAGAAAATAACATCCCGAAACATAACTCCTTGGCAGGGTGGGTGAGAACAACAGGCAGGATAATTTAGGAGAAGCATCCTTATCTTTAAGTGATCTGGAAAAAAAAAACAAACAATATGGAAGGAATCAAAGACAACAGACAGACTAAAGCTGAAATGATGTGCCTTACACTGGAAGCTAACACTGAACTGTGCCTGGGGGAAGGAGAGCAGTGAATACTGTTTTGACCTGCAGATGGAAGGGAAGACCATAATACAGGGCTGTGAGTTTGGCCATAAGAAGAAGACCCCACGTTATTTTTGCTGATGCTAGAGCTGCCTCTCTGAATCCTAAGCTGCACGCTCCGTCTCCCTGCCTTGAATGCAAGGCAATGTTGACATGATTGAAATTCTCTAAACAAGGAAGAGCTGAGTGAAAAAGGAACTGAAAACAAAGGTAACTGGAATTCCCTCTTTTCTATTTCTCACCATCTCCTGCAATATTTTTTTTCTTTTCTTTGAGCTCTAATTTTACAGTTTATAATAAAGAATGAACACATAGTCTGAAAACCAGAATCCCTTATATGATATGATTGGCCCAAGCATGAATGCAGTGCCCTAGTGTATTCCTGTGAGTGTTATCAGTCACAGCCAAAAAAGTAAATTCTTACAGCAGGTATTTCCCCTAAACCCACCCAGACGGGTTCAGCTCCTACAAGGAGCAGCACCACTGCACTTAGATGTCTACAAGCCACCAAAAGCTTCAAGCTCAGCCACATTCATTTTTTGCTTCCCTGAGAGACACCCAGGCAAGCCTGCAGAGCTAGAAGTGCTGGGGAGCCCCAAAGCCACGTCCTGTTGTGCACTTCAGCCAGCCAGAACCCAAGCAGGGGGTCACAACCCACCTCAGGCCTATGGGGTCAGGAAGAGGGGAGCTGGGCACAGTGTTAACACCAGACAAGGCCTGGGTTCAGAAACACTGCACATGAGGACAATTTAACCAAATGAATGCTGCCCTTCAGCCAAAGGTACACAGCTGGCTGCACAGGGGCACACCACCACAGGATGACTGCAGGTAGACCCCCAACACCAGAGCACCACAGCTACGTGGCATTTGGGATGAAAAGTACTGCTCAGGCCTATGAATCATGGGGGACCTACCCCGTGTTCCCAGTGAAGATGGGGCTCAGCCAGCACAGGTGAGACACAGCAGCTCAGCAGAGGAAAAGGCAGAATCCATGTCCCTCATCCAGGCCCAGCCCCAGCAAGGAACTCCTGCTGCTGGAGGGGAGTAGGCCTCAAAATGTGCTCCTCGGACTGACCCTCTGCCACCGCCTCCACACCACACCCATGGGGCCACCAGCCCCACAGGGCCTGCAAGTCCCATAGGGCCAGGCTAACCGAACTACATAGGGCTCCTAAACACCACAGGGTGAGCCACATGGGACCCCTAAACCCTACAAGGCCAGCTGTAAGGGGCCCTAAACCCCACAGGGCTCCCTAAAGCACACAGAGCCAGCCATGTGGGACCCCTAAACCCCACAGTGCTCCTAAACACCAGAGAGCCCAGCACAAGGGGCCCCTAATTCCTACAAGACTCCCTGAACCCCACAAGGCCAGCTGCAATAGGCACTTAAACCCACAAGGGCAAAGCTGCACAGCTGCCAGGAGACCCCAAACTGTAGAGGGTTCCCTAAACCCCCCTAAGCCAGCTGCAATGGGTCCCTAAAGCCCACAGGGCTCCCTAAACCTCACAGGTGCAGCTGCCAGGGGACACCAAACCCCACAGGGCTCCCTAAACCCCAAGGGGTCAGTAAAAAAGGGGTCCCTAAATCACACAGGCCCAGCTGCAAGGACCCCCAAACCCAACAGGCTCCCTAAGCCCCACAGGTGCAGCTGCCAGGGGACCCCAAACTGTACAGGGCTCCCTAGGCCCACTTACCCCCCACCTCCAAGCCAGTCTGTGGGCCCCTAAACCCCACAGGGCTCCCTAAACCCCAAGGGGTCAGTAAAAAAGGGGTCCCTAAATCACACAGGCCCAGCTGCAAGGACCCCCAAACCCAACAGGCTCCCTAAGCCCCACAGGTGCAGCTGCCAGGGGACACCAAACCCCACAGGGCTCCCTAGGCCCACTTCCCCTTACTCCAAGCCAATTGCAAGGGGCCCCTAAACCCCACAGGGTCAGCAAAAAAGGGGTCCCTAAATCACACAGGGCCAGCTGCAAGGGCCCCTAAAGCCCACAGAGCTCCCTAAGTTCCACAGGCCCAGCTGCAAGGACCCCCAAGCCCCACAGGGCTCCCTAAATCCCATGGGCCCAGCTGCAAAGACCCCCTAAACCCCACAGGGCTCCCTAAACCCCACGCAGTCAGCAAAAAAAAGGGGTCCCTAAGTCCCACAGGCCCAGCTGCAAGGACCCCCAAACCCCACAGGGCTCCCTAAACCTCACAGGTGCAGCTGCCAGGGGACACCAAACCCCACAGGGCTCCCTAGGCCCACTTCCCCTCACCCCAAGCCAGCTGCAAGGGGCCCCTAAACCCCACAGGGCTCCCTAAATCCCACAGGGTCAGCAAAAAAGGGGTCCCCAAATCCCAAGGGCCCAGCTGCAAAGACCCCTAAACCCCACAGGGTCAGCAAAAAAGGGGGCCTTAAATCCCACAGGGCCAGCTGTAAGGACCCCCAAGCCCCACAGGGCTCCCTAAATCCCATGGGCCCAGCTGCAAGAACCTCCAAACCCCACAGGACTCCCTAAACCCCACAGGGTCAGCAAAAAAGGGGTCCCTAAGTCCCACAGGCCCAGCTGCAAGGATACCCAAACCCCACAGGGCTCCCTAAACCTCACAGGTGCAGCTGCCAGGGGACCCCAAACCCCTCAGGGCTCCCTAGGCCCTCTTCCCCCCCACCCAAAGCCAGCTGCAAGGGGCCCCTAAACCCCACAGGGTCAGCAAAAAAGGGGTCCCTAAGTCCCACAGGCCCAGCTGTAAGGACCCCCAAACCCCACAGGGCTCCCTAAACCTCACAGGTGCAGCTGCCAGGGGACACCAAACCCCACAGGGCTCCCTAGGCCCACCTCCCCCCCCGGCCCCAAGCCAGCTGCAAGGGGTCCCTAAACCCTACAATGCCAGCTTCAATGCGCCCCTAAATCCAAAAGGGGCTCTCTTAAGCCTACAGGGTCAGCCGAAAACGGCACCCAAACCCCACAGGGCCATCTGTCGGGTGCCTTTAACCCCAACCAAGCCCGCACAGGGCCCTCACGCCGCCCCAAAAGCCGCCCGTGCGGCGGGGCCTGGGAGCGGCGCGGCCGGTAACACCCACACCCGCTCCCTTCCGGGGCGGAACGGGGGCGGAGCGGAGCACAAGCGGGGAACGGCGGCACCATGATGGCGCAGCGGGCCCTTCCCAACCCCTACGCCGACTATGATAAGTCCCTGGCCACCGGCTACTTCGATGCTGCCGGGAGGGTGAGTGGGGCCGGGGTGAGGCGGCCGCGGCGGGAGCGGGCCTTTCCCGGGGTAGCGCGGAGGCCGAACCCGGAGAAGGGCCCTTCTCCCTCCCTGGCCGCGAAGCCAGGGCTGGGCACACAGGAGCCCAGCCCGGTCCTGAGGTACCTCAAGGGTTTCTAGCCCTGGTTGTGCTCCCTCTGGGTTCATCTCCGTCTTGGCAAGGCCCCAGCCCACCTGCCTGTCAGTGTTTCCCCTCAGGTTAATGAGGTTCTGCCTTTCTCCACAGCTGACCCCAGAATTCACACAGCGGGTGAACAACAAAATCAGGGAGCTGCTCCAGCAGATGGAGAGGGGCCTCAAGTCTGCGGACCCCCAGGACTGCACTGCCTACACCGGCTGGGCAGGTAGGGTGGGATGGGATGGAGTAGGAGCTCTCCAGAGCAGACTTCTAGATCAGGCCAAGGCAGGCCCTGGAGGTTTTTGGCTCTTTGAATGGTCACAGTAGAGCCGTGTCATGAATGGTGCTGCCTCTGCATGTTTTAATCCCTTAAAACGAGGAGCTATCGTTCTCGGGACTCACCGTTTTTGGAGCAGGTTTCAAGCTGCAGGGGGAAGATGACGGCATTGCAGGGCAGGATTGGATCTTCTCTTGGTTAACAGTGCCAGATTTACGCAACCAAGAAGGCCAACACCTGCTTGAGAGCAAACACGGGAATCATTGAAGGGGCTGGCTCCAAATCTGGCCATGGTGGGGATGGTGATGAGGGCTCTTGTGAAGGAGGCATATATGTTGTCGATTATTTACCTGCAAGGAGTCCTTGCATGTGGCAGTGGTGAGCTTATGGCTTAAGATAATGTCCGTCTCTTCTGTTTGGGCTGAATTTTATCTCTCGACGTTGTCTGATTGGCAGGTCGCTCCATTCCTGTTCCCCAGGTAGTGCCCCTCCACTTAGCCAGGGCTAGTTCTGCTCCAGTACCTGCTGGGAGGAGCAGAAATGCAAATGTGAGTATAACGAAGGATGGAAGCCTTCCTCACACTAACTCTTGCGTGCAAAGCTTTCAGGAGCTTGTCTTTCTTGCGCTCTGCGTTTTCCACCTGGTTTTCCTTCCCTGGGAGCATGCCCTGCCCTCCCCTCCCTATTCCTACGCACTGGAGCCAGGGAGGACACACCTTGCTTTGCCGCCTCATCCTTGGCTACTGCTGTGTGCTTTTGTCAGCTTTCCTGCCTTCTCTGCACCGTGCCAGGCTCTAGGGAGGCTCAACTAACCCTGGGGTAGTTGCAATTAATCTCATGCTTGCTGCAAGATTTTTTGCTGGTTTTTTTTTTTTTTTTGGCAATACACTACAGTTCTAAGTGGCAACTTTCTACATTATTATTGGGGTGTGGCTGCCTTCCTCATGCTTGGACGCTATGGTACCTGATGCTCTCCTCATGCTTGGACGCTATGGTACCTGATGCCAACGGCTTGTTTGGGAGAGCAGTGTTCATTGTGTTGTCGCTAAACTAACGTTGCAGCTTGATGACAGCGATGCCAGAAATGCCTACTTAAAAATTTTAGTAAGGTAGACAGGCAGTGAGAACACTCTAGAGCAGTTCATAAGAAATGCTAGGGTGCCAGTATTAAATTCCAGCGTGGGAGAACATTGATTTCATCAGTTGCTGCCTGGCAGCACTCTGCTGGTGCCGCCTGTGAATTTATGCGTTTTTGTTCAGTGCTGGCTGATTTCACCTTGGGAAAGAGGTTCAGTCTTCCAGTCTTTGAGACCCTGCTCTGAGGTTCCTCAGATGAAAAGCATTCCATCTGTAAAGGTGGTCTTCAGTCGTGAGGGTGCTGCTTGGCACGATGGAAGAGTCTACCTCTGGCCAGAATAATTCAGGGGGATAAAGCAGGAGGACAACTAGGTCATATTAGGAGTACTCTGAAAGTCTGTGGAGAGAAGGTAACCACCTTTCCTCAGAGACAGTGTTCCCTTCCTTAGGGTGGCCTTAAGGAGGTGTATGTTGGAAAGTGGCTGCAGCTGTGAAACAGTGTTGAGAGCTCTGGTAGGATTTCAGTTCATTTTTATTTGGGAGGAAGCTTCTCAAGAGAGATTCTTCTTTTCCTCCCAGGCATCATTCCTCACTGGGCACACAACCTTCTCGCCTCAGCTAATAGGATTAGAAAAAACCCGTGGACAGATTTCTTGCAGGTCACAGCCAGCAAAGTGAAGTTTGCAGATAATGCACTGTCTCTTTGTTACCCTCCCTTCTTTTCTAATTCTAGCTATATTAATTTATTCAGTGCTGGTTTCCAGAGACAAAATTAATTGGGCCAAGAGCAGCTTTTTCCTGTAATTGCTTATGTAGAAAAGGCTTGTTGAGTATCTTCTCATGTAAATCATTGCCCAGCAGTCTGAAATCAGCCCGCACTCTTGTGGCCGCTAATAAGAGAGATTTGAAATGTGGCTCTCTTAGCGCAAACTCTGCGTGAAATGTAACGTACTCGAGTGTACTACATTACACTCAGTACTACACAGCATATGCTGGCATTTTCCTTTGGTGCCTGTTTCTTTCCCAACACACTTGACAGAGCCCTGTTCCCCCGGTCTGCATTTCTGCCAGGGAAGCCACAGCTTCTCATCATGTGAAGCTGGAGCAGAGGGAGAGAGGGCTTGCATTTTCATCTCAGAGGCAGTGAAAACATACTTTGGATCAAGATTATTCAGCGAACGGCTGAGTGCCCTCAAAACACATTTGAATTGGCTTGTTACAGTTTCATTCAGTTCCCCTTAGAGACCAGGGTCCCGTAGGCAACACCTGGTACGTGCCTGGGTATAGACCAGACTCGGCTGTTGTGTTCTGTCTTGTCTTTTAATCAGTTTAGCTTGACTGCTGTAAGAGCCTTTGTGGTCTTAATCTGTTTCATTGGTATCAGAGTGTTGACGGAGGGAAGGTGAACTGCCGTAAGCTAATTCTGAATTGGAAGCAGTTCAAATCCTGGCAGAGGTACAACTGCCTCATCCATTTTCAAATAGATTAGCATGAGGATGCCGAAGAGTACGTGTACGTGTGTGTTGGTATTTCTCACAGTGCAAGAAGCCTTGCTCCAAAGACTACCTCGGCTGGGAGCATAGATGATGGAAAGGGAATGGAAGGAGACTGACTTCACTCCTGTCACGTTTTAGCTGACCGCAGAAGCTAGGGAGCTCCTGAGTCCAGAGCCTGCTGGGCTGTTGTGTCCTTCCAAGATTACAAGGTGATCTGCCACCTGAAACGGTATATAAGGGAAAGATTTCCTTTCCTCTGCAAGCCTTCTCTTCTCTAACAATGTCATAGTCAGGGCTTTAAGGCTTGAGGGCCTGTGAAACAGACTGGTGAGTCCAGCTGGCCAGCCTCACCCACAGCTTTTGGCTGGCCCGTTGGTGAGTAGAGAGAGGAGGAGCAGGGCCGAGTTGCCTTTTGAAAGGACTCTTCAAAAGACACATCAGATGAAAGAAAAGTCATTTGAGCCTGGATGGAAATTCTGACCATACTGGTTCAGGAAAAAGACCTTCTGGAAAAACACCTTTCATTCACTTTAGTGCAGTATCTTAGTTTTAACCTCAGAACACAGAGAACTCGCATCTCCTTAAGAGAGTTCTGTTCAAAAAACCAGAAATCCTCAGATAATCCCTACAGAGTGAGAGGCAGTGAGGCTGCATTTGATGAGGGAGAATAGAGTGCTTTGTGTCGCCCGCATAAACCACATTCCTGCCAAGTGCTTGGTGGGTAGTTTTTGTGAATTCTTCATTCTTGGAGATAGTATTTGACTGGACGAGGCTTAGAGCAATGGGATGTACAGTTGAAGATGGCTTTACTTTCAGAGAGTTGGATCAAATCACCTCCACAGATCCACTCTGACCTACCCTGTTGTAGGATTCTGCGATGGGATAGTATGTATCTTTGGTTTGGATTGGGCTGGATTTTTGTTTGGGGCTTTTTTTGGGGTAAAGCTTCTTTTGCAAAAGCTTTCTTACCAAGGTTTTAAGGCTGGAGAATCTGAAGCATCCTGAGAAATGCCCCATGTCCTACAGTGCATTAGGAAGGCAAGCTGCAGTAAAATGCACCTCTGGCTTCCCAGCCAGTTCTGAACATGGGGTGATGCAGCCCTCTGAAGAAGGTGTCTCACTGTCCCATTCAGCATGGCTTTGGCATACATGTGTGAGTGCAAGACAACATCCCATGCGTCTGCACCAGAAAAGATGCTTATTATCCTTTAAGCTGGGCAGTAAAGCTACGCCACCCCCTCTCTAACTTTTGCCCCGTGCCTCACTCATTAAAATGACATCAGGTTTCTCACTAGAAACCATCAGGCTCCATCGCTGTGTGCAGAGATAGGATCTGCTTCTTCCCTCTGTGTTTGACATCCTGCTTTGAGGGTGCTGGCTGACTTACTTCCCTGGGTCAACGCAAGATCTCCGAGCTCTTTATTACTGTAGAGGGCAAGTTTGGAACTGGTCCAGATAAGGTCAAGAAATCTCCTCTTATGGCAACAGAATGCCCTTTGTGAAAGGACCAAGTTGCAGCTCGGGTCCCGGTGGACAAGGAGGCATGTTCAGAACAGTCTAATGCACATCCCTGCTGGTGCTGTCAGCAAGGGGAGCTGACACCGAGCACTGCTTCCTCTCACTTTCATCCACTCTGAATTATTCAGTGTGAAGGGGAAGCTTGGTTTCACTGCTGCTGTTCTCCTGCCAGCAGAACTGTTTGCAACAGTAGTGCAATCCAACATGCAGAACGAGTCTAAACTTGCAGGGAAGTTGAGCCACAGCTTTACTTTTCTTTGATCAGCAGAATGGTCCTGTGGATGAGAGATCCTTTCAGCCTGCTGCAGTGCTTTAGCTCTCAAGCAAGAACTTTTCTGGTATCTCCAGCAATATCTGCACTATTGGCAGCAGTAGTGGCTAAAGTCAGGGCCATCAGCACTAGCCAACCTGTGCAAACAATTCCATTTCTGCTGTGTACATTTAGGTCTCCTCTTCAGCCCTACTGAAAAGAAATCTCTAATGCAAAGCACCCCTCTGTATCTACAATACTGCTCGTATGGATTGGCAAGAGGAGAGAGATGTTGTCTACTGTCCTACTGAAGATGTTCAATAAACAGGCTTTGTGAGACACATGCAGAATTTATTTTTGCCTCCTGATGCCCTGCAGTGAGCAAGCATCTTGGGCATTAATGCTCCAGTTTATTGGCTTCCTGTGCACTAGAGATGGCAGTTTCAGTCAACAGAGCCCTGCTAAAGGATATGCTATTGTTAGCACATGTGTTCACTGCACCATCAAGTGATGTCTGATGCATTCTCCATCACATGTGGCTGTGCAGCAGGTCTTAACACTGCAAGGAGCAGAAAACTTTGAAATCTGTAGAAACTCCAATAGTAACCAATAAACAGAACAAACCCCAAACATCTAAGAATTCAGTCCTAACAGTCATCTTAGCGTGGTAGTTATGGACATAATTAGGGTGGGATGATGGCAGTGGGAATAGAAGCTACTTACAGGGCAAGAAGTTGTATATGAAAGCAGATAAGTCAAGAGTACAAGTTGTGCTCAGACAGTTATCAGGCCTATTAAAGTCTAGAAACTGTGCTAGCTGCTAAATAAATCAAGGGTAGTCACTTGGCATTTGCTAGGTGGAAGAGGAAGGTTCTCCTTTAAAGAAAGGCTTCATATCCACATCCTTATAGAATTGAGTGATGGTACTGTACATCTGAACTCTCTCTGGAAATACTAACACTGAACTGCTTAAAGAGAGGACAAGGTTATTACCTGCAGCAGGAAATGGAAATTTGCCCTTAATATACATGTGGAATTGAATTGTCTGTAGCACGAAGGTTTGGAGATTACCCATGCAAAATGAGAAAACGATCTAAATTTAAAATTGTCCTCAGTACCATGGAAAATAATTTTGCAGCATGCTTGCACCTGCCTCACCACATCAAAATCTGCAGAGATTGGCTCTATTAATTTAGGCTTAAATGCAGAACCTGAGTTGTCTTAGATATGGTTACTGGTAAGGGGAGAAATAAGCTTTCCTCAAAGTGTTGTAGGTCAGTAGCTTTCTTGAGTGCATGTTTGGGGATGCCAAGGATGGTTCAAATGTGGCAGACCTTTCAGACACAGACTTGCTTAGGACTCCTCAGTTACCTACTAAAAACTCAAGGAGCTGGTTGAATGCAGGGCAGACAGAGGCAAAGGACAGAAATTGATGTGACTTCTTACCTAGGGGAGTTGTTTCTGTAGCTGGTCAGCCCACTGAAAACCTCCAGGGAGGACCACGCAGCTTTTTCCAGCGTTCCAGGTAGCTGTTTATGTTTCAGATAAGGGCTGATCTTATGAATGGTGTGCTGCAGAGCAGAGTTGGGCAGCCCCTTTCTTTTCTAGGGTGCACCAGGCCCTGGTGTAGGGTTTGGGACCTGCTCAGCAGCAGGAGATGACATCCAGGGAGCTGTAACATCCTCGCTGGTGCTTCCCAGTGGGAGAGAATACCCCAGGAAAAAAAAAAAAGGCAAAAAAAGGGCCAAGTAGGATGTCTTAAGGGTGCTGCTTCTCAATGCTGATGATGTGTCCCTTTTTTTAAAAGCTAATCCAAGGTAACTGACCCAGCCCTTACCTCTTGGCATGGGAAAAAATAATTGAAATAGGGTAACAACTGAGCACTGCTCTGCCACAAGTACCATTTTGCTTAAAGGTGATTGTGGGGTTTTTTTCCTCCACTGTCTAGCAACAGTCCTAGGTACACTTGATATATTTAGGTGGGTTTGTCTAAGTCAAATTTTTTACTCCTTGCTACTAAAATTGTGTGTAACCTGTGTCTCAAAAGCTTTGCTGTCCTCCAGGACCTCCTGGGTCAGACACTGTTGTTTGTCTTGACCTGCAGTTCACTTATGAGCAACATCAGGTACAAGGAGGTCCCAAAGGAGGAGAAACAGCTGTGGATGCTGCAGCTATGGGTTATGGCCCTGGATGGGCCTGAGAAGCCTATCTAGAAGGCTTATGCCCTAGAAGAGGCTGAGGTTTTTTAGGTTGGGAAGGGTAATGGGAAGGGTAAGCTTTTCTGGTGGGAGCAATCTTTGTGTTCCTTTTGCAGGCATTGCTTTGCTGTATTTGCACCTGTATGATGTGTATGGAGACCCAGCCTACCTTCAGGTGGCCCACGAGTACGTGAAGAAGAGCCTGAGCTGTCTGACAAGACGATCCATCACTTTCTTGTGTGGAGATGCCGGGCCCCTGGCAGTGGCTGCTGTCGTCTACCACAAACTGCAGAACCAGAAGCAGTCAGAAGACTGCATCACTCGGTAAAGTGCATGGTTACATCTTTGACCTAATGGTCCTCTTGTTCATAGAGCTAGTCTAGGCTTGTACCGGGCACTCTCCACCAAGCCTGAATACATTTTCTTGCAGACTTGCTTGAGAGATGATCCAGGAGCTTAGCAAGGCAGTGCAGACTTGTTCTGCCCTGGGGGAAGAGCTCTCATAAGGACAGACGCGCCTGCCTGCAGGCTGGGGAGCAAGGAAGTTGTTCAGCTGGTATTGCCATCTTAAAAATAATTTCGATAAGCACAGGAAGAAAAAAAAATGCCAAAATTAAAAAAGAAACCCAGAAGGTGAGGTCTGCTGGTTTTTTTTCAGAACCCTTAAATTTAGCTTTACAGTCATTTTGATGAAAAGGAGAAATGTGGCAGGATTATTAGATTAATTTTGTCACTTGCTTCCACTTGCTATTTGACTTTGACTTAAGCCCGAGATTGACAGCATCCCTTTCAACTGCTGAGTGCAGCTGGTTATGATTCATTTATTTCTATTTCCTGCTTTTCCTCAACTGTTTTCAAATGTATTTTTGTTGGGTACTTAAGACAAGAAAAGGACAAACAAGCAGTGCTACAGTCAGATCAGCATGTGGTAGAGGAAGGAAAAGAATGAAGGAGAAGCAGTTGCAAGCTTTGCTTGCTTGAGGGAGATCAGTTTTGAGAAGGTGAGAAAGAGCCCTGCAAAGATTTTTCCACTTATGCCTGGTCAGCACAAAACCAAGACAAAACTCCTGACTCTTTGTAGCGACACCGACTGCCCTTAAACAGCCATGAGCAAGTGATTCATAATATCAATTAAAAAAGCCATGGGTGGGAATCCAGGGAGGTGCCCGTATGGTTTGGAGCCAAGTTCCTGCTCCCTTAACTAAGAATAGCTTCTGGTTTACATGGATACCATCAGTCTGAACACAGAACTCTCTTTTATATTCTTGAAATAATCTGTCTTTTAGGTTTTGCTTAATACTGTGTCCAAGTGGTGAATCTCACTATGCTTAATGTATTTGCTAACAAAAAGGGAACTAATCTGCCAAACAGTAGTGGCCAGTTGGGGTGAATGCGTAAGCCCCAAGTTGTGAAAAATCCCGAATTCATGGGTTTTTGCTGTAGCTTTTCTCTCCCCATATCCCTCCTGTTTTGTGGCAGGATGGAAACTCATGATTAATTCTGCACTGCCATCTAATGGCATAATAAAGGCAGAGCCCTGGAAGTTGGTTTCTTCATACATCTGAGAGGAGGAGAAAAGAAAAATGTGGATTTCTGGAAGGAACAGTTATACTGTCCTTACTCTGCCACCAATTCCCAGAGCAGTTAGCCTGACCATGCTACCTCTGAAAAGCGAGTATTTCTTTGAGAAATAGCTCCCTTAATCGAAACTCTTAAGTGGATTTTGAGCATGCTGTTTAGTTATGGAACAGTTGCTAAGTTATGGAGTGTGAGTGCATAGAAAGTGCACTTCTACTACAGCTGTGGAAAAGGAGGTCCTTTCTCCATTTTGTTCTCAGTCTTTTAAAGCATCCTCATCTTTACAGAGCTCAAGGAGAGAATCCATCAGCCAGGTTTTACCTGCAGTGGAAGAGACAGAATATTGCTTTTTCTTAGCTCCTTGCTCGTAGCCTAAATGAGTTCAGGACCAAAAAAAAATGCTTTTATGCTCTGGAGAGACTTAACGTTTCAGGGCAGCCCATTTTCCAGGAGCCTGTGAAAACCTGAGCCGTGTTCCAGGAGTCCTCTTTTCCCTGCCATTTCCCACCAATTTAGAAGGTCAAAGATTTCCTTTAGAGCCAGTGGTATAAAAAGATCCCATGTTGCTCTACCGCTGTTTTGCTCTCCCTCTGTCCAGAAACTACTGATTTTTGACAGTTGAGGCAATAGGCTGATAGGTGAGCAGGACTGGCTCTTCCTTTCAGGGACCTCGATTTACCCCCTCACACCTGAGAAGTGCCTTCTGCATACAATTAGTCCAGCATCACCCCAGGCATGTCTTGCCGCACACATGCCATGCAGCCCTGCCCCACACTTTAAAAACAAGAGAAACTGCTGGCAGGCTTCCTCCCCTGATTATCCTGGCTGGGAAAGTAGCTAGAGGTAGAAGTAGTAATGCATAAGGAGCAAGAATAGTAGCTCCAGCTGCTCCTGATTTCCCCACAAGAAGAAGATTTCACATCCAGACAGCGGAAAATCCCCACTGTGGGTATTACTGTTTATCTGCCCATCCATTCCTTCCCTGACATCTCAGAGCTGAACATCACCCACCAGCATCTCTCCTGACCAGCCCACTGCTGGGCAGAATCCTTGTGTCAAAACACCATTTTCCTCCTTGGAAACCATCCTCTTCATCTGTTTTTCTTCTACATGGGGCCAGGAGACATGAGGAGGCAGCGGGGCTTTCCTTTCACCCCACGCAGCTGAGGGAGGGACCCCTGCTTGGAGAGGGACTCATAGTCTTGGATGTAAAGTCTGTCTCTTGGGTTTAATCTGCAAAAAATCTTCCCCGTGGAGCAATGCACATCTCAAGCAGTATGTGAGGAGACGGGGCCAGGCCACCTTGAGACACTGCTCTTTCCTTTCTCCTTCAATATCCCTGCTCACTTTGAGTCCAGTGCCAAGGGAAAGTTTCCTGCCATGGGGAGTCACAGCCCAGCATCTTCGCTCTGCTCTGAGGGTACTCTGGACATTTGGTTGCTTCTTTCCTTTGTAACACATTGTTCTGCCCAGGAGCAAAGGCTGCCAAAGCACCTTTTCTGCTCCTCACGCTGCTGTGACAGGGAAGCCCTGCACACGTACACCTCTCCTGGCTGGTTTCTTCACCTTCTCCCTGTTGCCACCACAGCAGGAAGCAGCTGAGAGAACAGCCGTGAAGCCACTTCTGCTGGTATTTTAAAAAGTGATGACATTTTTCAGATTGCTGTCTCGGGGTGAACAGAAGAATAAAGCCAAAACAAGTCACATCCCTGCTTGTGATGAGAGGCAAAACCAAAGAGGTGTCGAGAGTGAATTGGGCTACAAAGCCCCAGTGTGAAGAGCTGTCAGTCTCTGTTTGCGCTAGAGGAATATCACCAACTTTGCAACACTAGATAAAGTGTTACTAGATATTAGAGAAAAAGCAAAGAAAATATCTGACTCCAGCAGACCTCTGGCTCTCCGCTTCTGCCTGGTGCCAGCCAGGCTGTCCTCAGTGTGGGGTTGCACCACGGACAGCCCACAGCACTCAATGCTCTGCTGAGCTGCCCTCACCACCGGTCAGCTCTCCCTAGAGGAGATTTCTTACATGTGCCACGGAGGCTTGATGTTAAACAACATTTCCAGCTCTTCCTCCCCAATTTTTAGCTGGATTTTTAGCTCATGGTGGCACCGCTTTCTCCACCGACAGCGTGCACCCAGGCCACTCGCAGACATGGAGAGAAAGGGGCTTTTCTATCAGGACTTCTGAGATTTTTCCACATACCATCAGCACTAGTTTGACCTTCCAGCATTCCTTGAGCAGCCGAAGTAAACAGATACCAGTTTAGTTTGAAAATAGTCCTTTTTGGCAGAGGGTCTGCCACGCCAACAGCATCACAGGGGGGTAATGGTGGGCAGCCTTTCCTAAGCAGTCACCAGCTTTATGCTGACCGTTTCCTATAGCCCAGGTTTCCCCACAAGTAGCTTTCCCAGAGCTGGTGCTCAAAACCAAGCACATAGTGTAACTGCCTTGTAAAGAGCTGAGCAGACTAAAGCAATAACCCAAAACAAAAAGCAGAGGGGGAAGAGGGATTCTCCACCTTGCATAGCTGGAATGCTGAGACCCAGAAACTGGCCTGACATCTCCTGGGGTGCAGGCAGCATGAAGGAACAAGTCATGGTTTTGAGCTCCAGTCTCACTGCTTGGTTACGTGGCTGAGTGTCCTCTAATTTCCCCCGTGTGAATTTTTCTTTGTAGTTTGCTCCATCTCCACAAGCTTGACCCACGAGTGCCAGATGAACTGCTGTACGGGCGCATGGGCTATCTCTATGCACTGGTATTTGTGAACAAGCACTTCGGAGAGGAAAAGATCCCTCTAAGTCACATTCAGCAGGTACTGTGGCTTCTGCTGATTTGTTAGCTGTCTCTTCCTGTGCAGCTTAACTTTGGGCAGGTAAAAATCAATACTAGATGTAGAGAATTCTGGCAGTGAGGGAGAAACCACATCATGGTATCCCCGCTGCTCTTCTTCCAAAGGGACAGAGCACCACATGCTCTCCTGCCATCCACATAAATCCATATCCACTGGCATACATTTCATTCCCTCACACTCTTCCCTCTGCTTGGGCAGAAAACAGCTATTGTTCTGTGTCAGGATGCTCACGGTGCTGTGTCCAAGAGAGCAGCACTTCCCTCACCTGCATCTGTTCCTATCCACAGGTCTGTGAAGCAGTTGTGGCCTCAGGAGAGAACTTGGCTAAAAGGAGGAACTTCACAGCAAAGAGCCCACTGATGTATGAGTGGTACCAGGAGTACTATGTAGGTGCAGCCCATGGCTTGGCTGGGATTTATTACTATCTCATGCAGGTAAGGAGGGGAAGGGCCTTTAGCAGCTGTTTCATGTTTCTTTGGACAAGGGGGAGCATCTTCTCTCTCCTCATTCCTGATTTGAATTGGTTCTTGGTGATGTCAAGCTGGACAAGATCCCTTGTCTGATGGACTTACTCCTGTATTTGGTCACGTATCCCCACTTCTAAAGGTTTTCTCCGAGTCTGTGAGATTGAATTTCCCACCTCCATGGAGATTTGTAGAGGAATGTGACCTGCATTCTACCAGCAGTTTCACATAATGAAGCCCTGGAAGTCAGCTGGGTCTGAGCTTCCCCCTCTTGAGTTAATTGCTTAAAAAGTATTCCTACATGTTGGCATCTGTGGGCTTCCTGCATTTTTGAGGTGGTTACTTGGAGCAATCTCAGATCATTACAGAGTGAGAATTGCTGTAGGAAAAGCATGGTGAAAGACATTGTGTTCATAATAGGAAAGTGGGAAATGCTTTTTTTTTCCCATATCAGGGCCTAAATGTGAAAGAAGTGGGACTTTTTACTTTGAGAAAACAGCCAAGCTCTGTAGTGCCTGAAGTAGGCAAAGCAAGACAAGAGGTTGGGAGCTACAGAGCCCCTTTGCTTTGATGTGCTTTCTCACAATTTTGCACAACTCACTGGAGCTCTGGGAATATTCCCTTCCCTGGCTCTGAAATGAGGGTCATAATTCCCCTATGTGGGTCACTTTGTGTATAAATTTACAGTGCTTAAGCTCTTAGAAAAATAACAGCAATAAACAACGTTGCATTTTCAAAGCATTAAGGGCACCCACTAGGCAAGAGAGATTATTTTAACGTAGCAGTTCATAGAAACAGATGATACCTTTTATTACACCCAACTCTCGCAGCAGGTGGAAAAAAAAAGCCACCAGGTTTCAAGTGCTTCTGCTTTCCTTCAGGACTCTCAAAGTTCAAGCCCATATACAGGATAAGTGCAGTTCCTGTGAATATAACCCTCTTCTGTCACTCAGAGAGGAAGGGGTAGTTGGTGGTTTTTAAGGAGGAAGAGATTTAGCAAGAGGAGGATGCGAGGTGATTATTGCCCAGGAGTACAGAACAGCTAATTTGGAGCAGGGGAGACAGCAGTGTGCCATGAGCCCAAATTTGCACCAAGTTCCTGAGCTTGTTCCCGGGCTGATGTTTTAAATAATTTTAAGTGTAAGTCCCCTACAAAATACTGCATGGGCTTCATGCTTCTCTGCCACATGAAGTACAAGGAGCCTGGATCAGTCAAGCATGATGCACAAAAAAACCTTGGGGGAAGCAAACAAGAGAAATTTGGAGAGAAGAACATTGGCCTTTTATCTCTAATGGTTTTACAGCACAAGTATTGATTTTTAATTTTCAAGTTATCAACTTGGGAACAGCGTAATCCTTAGGTGGGAGTGCTCATTGCAGTCTGCCATGGGAAATTACAACTGCACAGATTTCATGTCAGGCAGTGCCATTGGAAGAGGACACTGAAGCCACTCCCTTGCTTCTGAGGTCAGTGGTGAAGTCACCCCCTTGGAAATACCCAGCAACATCTGTGAAAATGCAGCATCACAGCTTGCCAGCTGGGCTGGCTCAGTAGCTCAGAGCTGAGATGTTCTAGGTGCTAGGAATCATTCCTGCTATTCATCCTTAATACTGATTTTAGACAATTTATCTCTTTACTCCAGCTCTGGGTACCTGAAAATATTCCTACTCAACTTCAGGAAAAGAAGCAGCAAGCCCTATTCCTTAGAGAGCTGAGTGACACGTTAGGGGGCAGCTTTCATTTCTGAGGCTGCAAGAGTATGACTGGAAATAAGTCCCTGCCAAAGGGCAGAGCAGCCTGGGGCCAAGTGGGTACTTGTGATGTGTGAAAGCCTGGACCAAAGAAATGACTTCATTTACAAGGAGCAAGAGGGAACATGGCCATAGCTGGCTTTGTTTCCACCTTTCAGGCAGATCTTGGGCCTCTTGGGGAGAGGCAGAATGGTAATTCTTCCTGGTTTAATGCTTTCTTTTCTCTTAGCCTGGCCTTGGAGTGAGCCAAGTAAAACTGCACAACACAGTCAAACCCAGCGTGGACTACGTCTGCCAGCTCAAGTTCCCATCTGGCAATTACCCTCCCTGCATCGATGACAACAGAGACCTACTCGTCCACTGGTGCCATGGGGCACCAGGTGTCATCTACATGCTTGTCCAGGCCTACAAGGTACCAGAAATCTTACAAAGACCCTTTGGGGGGCCCTAAATGTGGAAAAACCCCCCTGCCCGAGAGTAGGGTGGCTTGTTACAATGAAATCACTCCCCAGGGACCGCTGACTGAAGCGGAAATTAGTCTTCTAAATTTTCTTTTCTGAAAATACCTATCAGCTCTGTGGTGACTGATGGTGACAACTAGTTGTGTGTGAAGTAATGGTCATACAGCCCTATTCATCATATCAAAAAAAAAAACAAAAACATCCTCCTTCAAAGTAGACGGCAAAGTCACAGCATTAAAACTTCAATAGGAGAGAAAGTAATTAACCCAAGCCTCCCCACTCACACAGGGATGCTTTTTGTGTGGAGGAAATTGCCTCGGCAAGAGGGAATATTTCTTGTCTCTGCAGGTCTTTGGGGAACAGCAGTACCTAAACGATGCCCTGCAGTGTGCAGAAGTGATCTGGCAGTATGGGTTGCTGAAGAAAGGCTACGGGCTGTGCCACGGGACAGCTGGCAACGCTTACGGCTTCCTAGCACTCTACAACCTCACTCAGAACATGAAATACCTGTACAGGGCCTGCAAGGTGAGAGCCTGTGTAAGGAAGGGAGAGGGGGATTATTCACTTCTGCCTTCGATGTCACCGCCTTTGCCTTTGAAACCTAATTTCTAGTGTGGCAGAGATGCAGCTAGATCTGACCAGAGCAGTCCTTCAGCAGCGCAGTCACTTGTCTGACAGTCTGCACAGAAGGGATATCCTGCAGAAGCCTTGGTCTGCAAGGGATAACCTGGGTGTGGTATTTATTTCCTATATATTAGGATCTGTCTTTAACAAAATTTGAACATTTTTTTTATTCCTCTTTTTTCAGTTTGCAGAGTGGTGTTTGAGCTATGGTCAACATGGGTGCCGGACTCCAGACACGCCATTCTCTCTCTTTGAAGGTAGCCTCCATCTCTATGCTTTTGTTTTGCTCCTGGATCTGAGCTAGTCCAGCACCAAGGAGAACTTCACACTCCACTGAAGTCTTTGCAAAGCTCAGTGTAGAGGATGGGAAAGAAATTGTATTCACTGCTTTTACCCTTTCCCAGAAGCAGTCTTCTTGTAGCACAGGCTCATATCTTAGCTGGAGCATCTTGTCCTCTTGGGCTTCCTGCATGGATTCCACCCACAGGTCTCAAGGGGAATTATTTAATGGGTACAGGCCAAAGTTTACCTTATGGTAATTCATAGCCTGGCTTCTCAGACAGTCTCTTTTCTGTGCATTTTTAAGGATTAAAGTCCTTCATGGGCTTTCCACTTCAATTCCAAAGGTGAGTGAGGAACAAATGAGGCTGCTTGTGTAGGCCTTGGTGGCTCCTGCTACTGGTCCCCATAAAATCTGCCATCATCAGGTATTACTGAAAGAGCCAGTTCCTCACCTAATGTAAATCTTTCAAGCTTTGCTGCAGGCCAAGGAAGAAGGGCAGTTATATCAGTGAGGATCTGAGGCAGCAGTGTCACTGGGTCCAAAATTTTGCAAAGATATTCATATTGTTAAACCTGTGGACAGGTAAAGCAGGAGGGAGGGAACTGGAGGGGGGAAGACCCATCATGTTTTCCCAGGTGCTTTTCAACATTTGATTAACTTCAAAATGCTTTCCCCCATCTTGAAGTACCTTAGTTGCTTGGGAAACCTGAGTTCAGACCTTGGAAATTATTTAGGTCCTTCTGAAAATGTTTTCCTTTCTTCTGTCTTCATGACTCATTCACCCCCTGGATAGCTGATAAAATGGGTGCCCAAAGGGAATCTTTCTGAAGCACGTTGTGTTTTCTTATCCTCAGGAATGGCTGGAACGATTTACTTCCTTGCGGACCTGCTGGTGCCAACCAAGGCCAAGTTCCCTGCATTTGAACTCTAAATCGGAGCGTGGCAGTTTCCTGCCTGAATCCTTCTGCACTTGGAATAGCAGTTCAAAGCTGCTTTCTCCTTCTTCCAAACTCATCGTTGTTCACCTAACTGAACGTAAATCCATCCTCCTGAGGGCATGCTGAGGTCTCTAATATTTCTAGTCATCTCATCGCATTGTTTCCATTTAAAAGATAGAATGTAGATTTTGCTGGTGTCTCCTAAAAACACAGGGCTGCAGGTGGGAGCAGGGAGAAAATGTACAGTATTTTGTTGGCTATAGAGTTTTGCTATTTTCTGTATCCCATTTCCTGGGAGGAAGTTTTCTATTGAATGTAACTTTGGCCATTTAGTTATTTATATTTTTTTTGTGCTGATAAATAGTTGCAGGAATTTAGTTGCCTTTTGGAAAACAAAAGATGAAAAACTGAGACTATTGCCCTGCTTTTAAGTTGCTTTTAAGTGTTTTCTCTCTGAGCACCCAGGGAGTGGGCAGTTCGGTAGCTGGGCTGCTCCACATGAAGTGAATGTGATGGACTGTGGAGTCTTTCTATATGTTTCTTTTAATGTCAGAGAGCGAGTGGCACAGCTGGAACTGACATGCCAAAGCCTTGTCCTGAATTTCCACCTATCTGCTTTAATGGCAAAGGCTATGTATAGCTCTTTTGTGCATTTTTTTCCAGTGACAGACAAATAATCCGCTAGCTTTTGTGTTTATTTGCCACTTATGCTAAACTTTGCAAAAGTCCATTGGTCATCGAATGGAAAACTCCAATCTAGAAGTGAGCTAAGCATGCTTGCTGCTGTAGTCTCTTCTGTTTAGCTTTGCAAGTTTATTTTGCGGTCTTTATTTGAAATAACGTAGGAATATTATAGGTGTTAGGTGGTGCCAGGCCCACCAGCAGCAGCATGGGGAAAGAAATATATTCCACTGAGTTCTGTCAGTGTTTAACCTATTGCCTGTATAGATGCTCCATATGTGCTTTGTTTTATAAGCTTTCCTGAACTTGGATAATTTGAGTCACTCGTTTGCCTTGTTACTGCTTGTTGTGGTTTGATACGCAACCACACATCTACCCAGCTGGAAAATCTGCCCTAGGTTAAAGAGCTTTGACCTGTCAAGCAGACCAGATACTTGCAAGGGGTAAACCTGCTTTTCCGTCCTTTAAAATCTGCTTTTCCGTCCAGCTGATGCTGCGATAATTTGCGGCAATTTGACCATCCAGCTGATGCTGCGATAATTTGCGGCAATGAGGGACCTGCCCCTGTAAACCACTTCCTTAGCACCGAGCAGGAGCTAAACGCTGAGTGCAGTGAAAGCTACTGATCCTGTACTGCTTTGTGCTGCTTGAGGGCAGCTCCTCAGCCTGCACAGAAGTGGACGTGGGTTTTGACCTGTTAAGGGCCTGGTTGCCGAGTGCCTCAGGCCACCTAAGACCAGGTGAGCAGCTGCAGGGCATCCTGGGCAACCTCCAAGGCAGCATGTTCCTGCAGCAGAGGTAGGAGGAGAACCAAATCCAGCACACTAACCCAGCTAGCTCACGTGTGCCTGAACGCAAGGCAGCCACAGCGGCGTAGGCAAGACCCTCAAGAACCTCCTAGGTGAGCTGTTCCAGCAAAGAGTAGAAACCATTCCTGGAAGGCTGCCCGTTTCCTCACAGCCTGGCCTCCTGCTGCTCTCACACGTTTCTGGAAGTTCATCAAAAGACAGCCTGAAGCCCAGAGAAACTGCTTTGGGGTAGGCATCCCTGTCAGAAGCCTCAAGCTCATGGAGACTCAGCGTTGGTCATCGTTCACAGGGCCTAAACTGTGACTGGAGGTGGAGGGTGGTGACTGGGAAGGAGGAAGCACAGTTCTGAGAGCAGGATTTGGCTAGTCCAACAGCTTAGGGGTGGGATCCTGTAGTACATGAGGCCTGCTGTAAGTTACCTCCCAGCCTGGCTGGTGCGATGGCACTGTAGGGACACTGCTCTGAGCCTGGTTTTCTCCTGGGTGTTGCTTCTCTAAAGGAGATGGTTTGGTGCAGCCTGGTGTCATGGCAGCATCACATCCCAGGGTTCGTACAGGGACTGGTGTACAACTGCTGAGTGCAGCACTGTTTAATAAAAAGGCTGAAATGAAAAAGCTCTGTTTGTTTGGTTTTTTTTTTACTTTTTGCTTTGTGAGCAGGATTCATGTCTGAAGAGATCAAGATATGCTACACCAGCCACTACAGTGGCTCCTGGTGGCTCACTGGCCTCCCACTCACCCTCAGTATTTCACATTTTTCCCTGTCTCCAGTCCATCGAGGCAAATCCTGTGCTTTCTTTCATAGGCTGTGTTTTTCTCCCAGGACATCCTTTTGCAGCACTGTCTCCATTCAAGGCCATGTCCTCCCTGCTGTGGCTTCCATTGGAGACACAGTCTTGCAGATCAGTCTTAATTGCACCAAAATATGCCTGTGTGTGGCACTGGCCACCAGAAAGAGGATGTAGATAGATCCTCCCAAAAAAGCACCCTCCTCCCCTATGGAAGGAGGAACAGGCTGCCTCTGGGAGGCTGTGACTGTCTAGCACCAGAGTCTTTAAGATGTGACTCTGAGGGATGGTGTGGCTAAAGGTGATCCTGCCCTCCAGCACAAGCATAAATCAGGCTGCTTGAGGTCTGCCTGATTTTCTACCATTTTCATTTCTGTAAAGGTTTGTGGTAAAGCTTTTTAGGGAGGGAGGCCAGCAATTGGGATGGGAAAGAAGCATGGTGCAGAGTTTCTCTGGTTGCCCTTCCTTTCTCAAGCAGGTGTGTGGTGCTTCCACCTCTCTCCGTGCTGAGCAGAGGGAGCAGCAGCAAGACAGAGCCTGGAAACACACAACTGCTCCTGCTTCCACAAGCTACTGAGAGGGACTCTATCAGGAGTGTGGGCGTTTAACACTTGGTGATGGTTTTGTTTGTTCGTGGCGGTGTTCTGTTTTGAAAAAGTCAAGGGCCTTACGCCCCCAATAAGTAAGTAAAAAGCATTTCTGAGACCAGAAGTCCTGCTCCAGAACAGCTAGGTTCTAGCACATACAGCTGCTTTGTTGGAAGATACTTTTTTTTTTTTTAATTAATTTTTTACATTGGGAAGAACAACAGAGGTTTCTCACATCTTCCTGCCCAGAATGACCGAGCTTTTTGGTCAAGCATCCCCCACATCCCTTTAGTTGCACCTGGGAAAGAAACCTGAACCAAAGGCCAGTACCCAGAGCAGGAAATCTAAACCCCAGGAGCTACAACTCGCAATGTTTGGAAGTCTCTGAAGACAAAATCCAAGAGGGCAGGGGGCATCAGATCTGCCCAAAATAAGCAGCTGAGGAAACACGCTGGAACCCCGCTAGGCTTGTCCCTGGCAGGGGACCATAAAAAAGACATAGAGGTGCTGGAGCGTTGCCAGAGAAGAGAAACAAAGATGGTGAGGGGTCTGGAGCACAAGTCTCATGAGGAGAGGCTGAGGGAGCTGGGGTTGTTCAGCCTGGAGAAGAGGAGGCTGAGGGGAGACCTTATTGCTCTCTACAACTACCTGAAAGGAGGGTGTAGAGAGGTGGGGGTCGGTCTCTTCTCTCAAGTCACAGGCGACAGGACGAGAGGAAATGGCCTCAAGTTACACCAGGGGAGGTTCAGGCTGGATATTAGGAAAAATTTTTTCACCAAAAGGGTTATCAGCCATTGGAATGGGCTGCCCAGGGAGGGGGTTGAGGCACCATCCCTGGAGGTGTTCAAAAGACGGGTTGATGTAGTGCTGGGAGGTATGGTTTAGTGATGGTGTTGCTTTTTGTTTGTTGTGCAGGTGTTTATTTTTGTCAAAACTGGGGTGACGGTTGAACAAGATGATCTTTAAGGTCCCTTCCAACCTAGAAGATTCTGTGATTCTGTGATCTGGCTTGGGGACACCCTGTGTGGAGTGGTGGGTGGAGGTGGCCTCAAAGCGGCTGTGTGCCCCCAGCAGGTGGCAATGCAGCCTGAGAGCAGCAGCCACCCCACCGCTGCCAAGCAGAGGCTCCCACCAACCTAGAAGATTCTGTGTGATTCTGTGATCTGGCTTGGGGCACCCTGTGTGGAATGGTGGGTGGAGGTGGCCTCAAAGCGGCTGTGTGCCCCCAGCAGGTGGCAATGCAGCCTGAGAGGAGCGGCCACCCCACCGCTGCCAAGCAGAGGCTCCCACCCTCAGCTGCTGCATCCTACCTGGAGGGAGCTGGGATTCAGCTCTTGGTCAGCCCTGGGAGGTGTGACAAATGTGGGAGCCCTTCAGAGGTTCATGGCCTCAAAGTGAGTAATACACACCCTCCAAAATAAAACAAAAAGCACATCTTTCCCAATCCTGCCTGAAGCCACCCAAGCTCTTCCACAAGCTCCCGCACCCTCAGCTGCTGCATCCTACCTGGAGGGAACTGGGATTCAGGTCTTGGTCAGCCCTGGGAAAGTCACTCAGACCAAAAAGCCCACACAGATGAGATTATATTTGTGCACCGTATGGGGTGGCAGAGGTGTGACAAATGTGGGAGCCCTTCAGAGGTGCGTGGCCTCAAAGCTAAACACACCCTCCAAAGCTAAACAAAAAGCACATCTTTCCCAATCCTGCCTGAAGCCACCCAAGCTCCTCCACAAGCTCCTGCAGGGGAGGACAAATCCTCATGCTCTTCAGGAAAAGCTCCACATCTTGAGCAAAACCACTCTATGCCTCCCCACATCACTTTTACGCAAGTTTTGATCTTTCCCAATCCTGCCTGAAGCCACCCAAGCTCTTCCACAAGCTCCCGCAGGGGAGGACAAATCCTCATGCTCTTCAGCCACACGGGCAGGTTTTCAAGGAAAAGCTCCACATCTTGAGCAAAAACACTCTATGCCTCCCCACATCACTTTTACAGAAGTTTTACCACCAACTGCTCCCAACTCCCAGGAGCCAGAGAGCCAATAACCCCTTTCCCCACAAGGCTGCCCTTGGCTCTGTGAAGTCTCCTGCACTGAACGTGCCTCCACTAGAACACCACAGGGCTTGGGGGCATCCCAAAAGGGCAAAAGCATCAAGAAAATCCAGCTGGGCACACGTGTAAGGGTACTAAGGCTCACCACTGAGACATTTTGATGGCAAGGGAAAAACCAAGCCTAGGTAGGGCTGAAATGGCTCCAGCAGATAGGCTTGCAGTGCTGTCCCCATTGGGACATGAAGCCAACAGGACCAGAGCAGCCTTGGGTCTCCTTGACCCTGCTGACGGACAGTCTTGGGAGTTTTCAGGCAACCCCTTGTTTCAGCCACATGTGGGGATGGAGGAGCAGAGAACTGGGCCCCATGGAGTGGGGGGTTTCAGACCAGTGGGTTTTCCCAGGTTTTTGGGGGGATCCCTGTGCACAGTGGGGTGCAATGTTAGCATCCAAACTCACTCTCAACGCAGCAGGAAGCGGATAACTAAGTTCAAACCTGCATAGACCCACAACCCCAAATTCAGTACCGTAGCTGGTGGGGATGGACACTGCAGCATCTGTATAGCTGAGCCTTTCAACTTAGCAAGCATAGTTCATTAACCTTGGCAAACAGGTAAACATGGATTTCCAGACTACGGCTGAAACTGAAAGCGTCGCTTGATTGACTGTTTTCCCTGAATCAACACAGCTTATACCTTCTGCTTTTTTTGTTTGTTTGTTTTGTTTTTCCTCCTTACCTTTGCTTTTCTTGGTGGCAGTAATGTTCTGGAAAAATTGTCTATGTGGGCCAGATCCTGAGCTGTGTAAAGCCCACAGAGTTAAGCTGATTTAGAGCAGTTTAGGACCCAGCCCTTCTGCAACAGCTGAATATAGGAGTCAGGGGGAGTTTAATTAACTTGGAATAGTTGATCAAATGTCAGTTCTAGCTAATAAACCTGTTTGTGCCTGACCTTAACAGCAAGTGTTGGCATATTAATTAAAGGATCCCAGCAAGATATGACAGGTAGTTTTTTGTTCTGGGTTTTGTTTGGGAGGGGTTTTTTGCTTCTTCTTTTGGAAAGAAGCAGCAAAATCTTTCATCATTCAGGACACCCCTCATCGAGCTTCATCTTACCATGAGCTAGAACCACCACTCTCCCTTTAACACAAACTTATTTCCAGTCCTCCTGTACCTCTTGTCTTTGCCAAAGATTACAAATATCACTTCATACCAGCTGGGCTTCAGAGAGCTCCTTCCCAGCTCTGGAGCAAGGATCAGGGATGCTGCTACCACAAAAGTGACGTTGCTT